GACCGTCACATTATAACGCCTTCACGGCTGAAAGGGCGAGCATGTTTGATGGGACGGGGATTCGAACCCGCGACCCGCAGATTGCCAGTCAAGATCCCTAACCACCTGGCCATGCCGGGCCAATTAGATTTTTATAGATTTGTTTTTAGCACAAAGCTACAACGGACTATGCTTATTTATCAGTTAACTTTAAAAACGACAGTTCGTTGATGTATTCACTACTCAAACACTGATTAGATTTTAACTAAAGCGTGTTTATATTTTAGTCCCATAATAACAGGCTTTTGGGAACAGCATGTAAAAACCCTTTTTGGCGAAAAATATTCATACATTCAAATCATAAGGATGTGTTCAGCTCGGGAAACTTGATTTTCCGAGATGGAGATACCCCTTATAGTTAATAGAATTGAAAACAGATAAATATGGAACATCTTGGAGAATCAGAACCATTCAGAAAGAAACCTGCATCATGCGTTCCCAACAATGGTAAACAGAATGCGATATATTGTAATAGGAGAAAATACACCAACATAAGGGATAGTGGCAACAGCCATCCACATGATCCAGGCTACAGTATGCAACATAAACAAGATGGACCTTTATCTGAATAGCTATAAAAATCGTGTACACAAGTTCCTTCCACTACCTATCTATTCAACTGCCACATATCTCAAGTAGCTGGAGTATGAAATAATCTGTCTAGTGTACTAGAACGATGGTTTCCTAGCACACGTTTTAACAGTCTGCTTACACAGAAATTCATTGTCATTGCATTTGACGACTGGGCCAATACACCTTCCTATGTAATAGAATGATTATCTGTTGAAAGCAAGCATTGACTTTGGGTGTGCTTTGAACATGACAGCTTTTCGATAGAAACTACTATCCAGGGCTATTGTCAAGAAGCACGATAGCCATACAGAGCATAAACAGATGTGGTCATGTGAACTAGAACGACGTTTTTGAGGCTCCAAAATTGTACAAGAGATTCTTAACTTATTACTGATTCGTCCCGTTAGTTATTTCAGCACTGTAAATAATTTAATTTGTGTTTTCATCGAAATAATACAGATGAGAAAAACGGGCAAGAAAGTATAATTTCTGTTGATACTTTTTTATTTGTGAAGTTAGGCCTATCTTTAGTTAGGGAATTGCACAAGTTATAAAACTTGTAGTAGTTAAAGAAATAACACTCTTTCGTTATCACAAAGTGGACTGGGCTTAATAGTTTGTTTTACCTAATAACCCGAAGATGTTGCTTTAACGCAAGGCTACATAGTGGTTATCTGCATTCTGTCCATCACGGGGAATCTAATTCCGGATTTTACCACTGTAAGTCCGTAATCTTACTGAAGACCCACAGGTGGATTTATCCAAAATAACCGCAATCATACACGTTTTCCATCTTTATTCAAAATATCGTACTTAAGATTTTTAGAATAATAAAACAATTAAAGTAATAAGTGAAAATTTCCAACTTACCTGACTCATTAATCGGTGTTTTCGTTATTGTTTCCGGAACAGCCCTGTCCTGCTGCTGCTCATGAGATGTTTTGGTACAAGTTCTCAGTTCACACGAGTTGCCAGGACTTGGAAAAATAGAGATTTCTGTAACTGAAATAACCTTAAACTGTACAATAGTAGTGGAGATCATAACTACTAATAGGATAAAGAAACCGTCGCTCTTTTTAATAAATATTTCTTCGAACTAAGTTCTTGTTAAGGCGAGCTAGAATGAATTATAGAATATAAACGCAACGCCTACTCACTGCCTCGTCATAGTTCGTAAATCCTTATTACAAAAACATTTACTTCTAGAAAAGCTGTCAGAGTACTGTACAATGTAAACATAACACAAATCAATTGAACTCTCTCATGAATTCGAACAAGTAAAAAGTGAAATAAACAGTAGAATGTGTATACGAAGTCTATCGAGTTAAGCCTATTTTTTAAAAAAAGGCTTCTGATGCTCGTGTTAAATAATCTGAAGGCGTGCACTTTCTTCCTGTCAAAGGTCAGGATAAATTAAAGCAAAGAATTTTAATAATTCACAGATTATGTAAAGCACTAGCATGTGGGACAGCCGATAAAAATATCTTCTTCACACGCCACTGTTGTCATGGCGACATCTCGTCCTACGCGGCAATGAGTGTCAAAAGGAAAACGTTATCAGTACCTGGAACTATAGAGATGCTTCTCATGGGTGTGTCGCTTTCCGTAAACTACGTCAAAGGGGAAGATGAAGAAAAACATGAACATTGCATTTTGCATCGAAAAACACCAAACTTCAAACGTTAGTCTTCCGAAGCTTTGCGTCTTGAACGCGCAGTAATGTCGTAGAGGAGAACGATTGATATGCGCACTCAGTAATCAAATATGATGATTCAATGCACTCCATTTCTCTTCTCTCTTCGGCCGGGCGTAGCGGAATTGTTAGCGTGATCCGCACTTTGAGGTCATGGGCACACTATAAGAGTAACAGTCAAATCCCACTATTCTTCTATACAAGAGTAGTCTAAGAGTTGGCGGTGTGTGCTGGTGACTAGTTGCCTTCCCTCTAATCTACGAGTTCAACAGTGTAGAAAACTATGCGAAGACAGGCTTTTGTGTGAGTTCACACGTAAATTCTAAAACAAACAAAACAAATGGCGCTGTGTGTGTGTGTACGTATGTGTGTGTGTACATTATTTACTTATTTCAAGTAACTGCACGAAAGTGAAGTCAGGCTATTCAGCGACAGTTGCCATGGAAACAAACTCTGTGTGTAGTCTTAAGTATATATACGTGGCGGGTAACTTATTACAGACATATAACCTAACGTATACGATGCCTGGTGAAACATGGACGTAACACACAGCTGTTACACGAATATGATATACAACATACTGATTTTACACAGATACTTCGCGGCAGGTTCTGAACTCTTTGATTGACTCACTTTGTTGGGATTGTCGTCCTTTTCGTTTTAATGCAGTGGTTTGGGGACAGATCAATAATGTAGCTTATTTATATATAAGTTCGTGTAATAATAAACACATACACACAAAACGAAGGGTTGTGGGGTTTGGTTTTCAGGGGAAAGCTCTCATCGAAATCGTGAAGACACGGGTGTATTAGCTTCAACAAAAAATATCAAGAAAATCACTGGAACGCTATCAGTTCGGTATCTAATTAACCTAATTAATCTTGTATTAATAAATTCGGTTAAAAACAGAAATGCGTAATATATTAATGATATATAAACACATGCATGTGATCAACTTGCTTACACATAAGAAATTTTCTTTATTACAAAACTAAACGGATTAGCTTTTCGTGTGAGGTTTTACAAAACTCTTAACTGTTATCGGTACACGTACAAAATATTGTCTAGTTTATATTTTCATGGAAGATTAAGCTTCTCACATGTACGTAGAGGCAATTTAGAGTTAAAGTGTTTCATTAAAATGCTTACGAATGAAAACACTTTAACAAGCATGAATTAAAGCTGTACTTTGGCCTAATGATACTTATACACTGTCTGGTCACTTTATTAGGGCTCACCACACTCACTTGCAAAACTCTTTTCTTACATCTAACTGTAAAATAGACTAAGCATGTGACATATCCAATGATTGGTTTAAAATATAATTTTGAAGATATATTCATATTTTAATTAGCCTATATCACAATGTGTAAGAGTAAAGATGTCTCTGACCTGCAAAGGAGCGTGATAATCGATGCCTGTTTAGCAGGAGCGTCGCTAGAAAAGATAGTTTCTTTCACCAGCTGTTCAAAGACATCTGTTATAATAGTCTGCCAACTGTGGCAGAGGAATTATTATATCATTGATGACATTCCAGAGAAACAGACCATTGAACAATCTTGTAAAGTGCAACAGAAGTTCAACTTGCTCCAAATAACTTATTACTTATTCACAGGGTAGAATTTTCTGTTACAATAGTCTACAGGGTGAACGTCGTGTTTACTGTTTTAGTACTTTGGTTTTTTTACCCAATTTACATCACATAAGAAATAATTAAGATACCATGGGGTATATACATTTTAGGTCTGGGGTCTGCCCGAGAGACCGAGAAGAGCACAATATAGGGGACCAAGTCCCCTGAAGATTGCGGTTTTTAACATTTAGGAAGTAAAAATCTATCTCTCCTTGGATAAAACTGTAAATGGAGCTTGAAACAGTAATTGGAAAAGTTGGATATATAATTACATGTAGACAAAAAATATTATATGTCCACTTTTAAAATGTTTTTCAAGCACTTCAGGAAAAATGAAGACAGTGAGTGAATGCATTACTTCATGAATATCAAATTTTATTGCGTACTGAAAATATATAAATGTATTTATTTTGTATGTGCTTTTTATCAAGTTATCCTTTTCAGAATGATGAACAATACTAACAAAGGCAAGTTAGCGTGAAGCCCTTCCCTACGGATATAGTCAGCAGTAACAATTTGCAACACTAGGATATCAGTAGCGATGATTGAAGAAATACCTATCTCTGTATTCCAATCCATCTGCCACTTCTTTTTTTCTCCAGTAATTTACAATCCTCCTCATCATCAATGGGCATGGCATGGCCTGGTGGTTAGGGAGCTCGACTCGCAATCTATGGGTCGCGGGGTAGTTTTAATATGACAGTCAATCCCACTATTCGTTGGCAAAAGACTAGTCCAAAGAGTTGGCAGTGGGTGGTGTTGACTAGCTGCCTTCCATCAAGTCTATCACTTTAGAGTTAGGGATGGCTAGCACAGATAGCCCTAGAGTAGGTTTGCGCGAAATTCGAAGTAAACCAATCATCATCAGTGATATATAAGCTATCATTTTATCTATACTCCAACTAATCGTCTCATCAAATATATATATCTATTTTCATACCTTTTCATGCTCGTTTCATTTAATAAGAAAACTAAGGATTAAGGCATGAGGAAAACGAAATGAAAAGAAGGGTAACAATAAAAATATGGAGCATTTTGATACGCAGGTAAACGAAACGAATAAAAAAGTTTCACTATATTCCTTGTTAAGTGCAATATCCAAGAATTGTCTTTTCTAGCTGTCTATAGTTTTAGCAACCAGAAGTTATGTATTACTACAAACTATTGATAATAATAATAAAGAAAATACTTGTAATTTTGATTTGGTTTGTTTGGAATTTCGCACAAAACTACACGAAGACTATCTGTGCTAGCCGTCCCTAATCTAATAGTGAAAGAGTAGAGGGAAGGCAGCTAGTCAACATGACTCTCTGCCAACTCTTGGGCTACTCTTTTATCAACGAATAATGAGATTGACCATCACATTATAACGCATCCACGGCTTAAAGGTGAGCATGATCGGTGTGACGGGATTCGATTCCGCGAGCCGAGCGCCCTAGCCACCAGGCCATTAGAGGCCTATATTTGTAATAGTTGTCACGCCTGATAATTTCGTACTAATAGTTGAATTACCATATAATTTTTCGGTAACCATTTAAGGTTGACACCTTTATTTGGAGCTTCGAGGCTTTATGTTTCTCAAAGTGTACTGGAAATAAGTTTAATTTACTTTATTAAATAATATATCTTATTAGACATTTTTCAAATTACGCATGCCTTCTTTAATCATCTTCTATCATGTATATTTGTTTTCTGTTATTTTGTTGTTGTCGGTAATTGCTGCTGTTTGATGATGATCTTTGACGAGGATCAATTAACTGTTACAATATATTATTTTGTCTATATATCATGTATATTTAAATATCCATGTTAAATGTGTTTGCGATTATCAGCAGTTAATCGTTTAGCTTTTGTATTTTTTCATATATATATTTTACTTTTAAAAGTATCTAATAAAATTTATTTTTCCATTGTTATTTAATCGGGTTCAGATAAGTTACTTATTTTATTAATTTCTCGTTCATTGTCCACCAGTAGGTAATAATAAAGTTTATGAATTTTCAACCACAGTAAACGGGGTTAGATTCCTGGCGGTGAAGAGAGCACAGGTAACCTATTATGTAGCTTTACACTAAAATAAAAAATGTATGCGTATTTTATTTTTAAACGTGTGCATTAATTACTGTAGGGTTTGTTTATATATTTTTCCTAATTTTATGCAATTAATTCATAACACTTCCTAAAATGGCCCGGCATGGGTAGGTGGTTAGGGCGCTCGACTCGCAATCTGCGGGTCGCGGGTTCGAATCCCCCGTCCCACCAAACATGCTCGCCCTCTCAGCCGTGGGGGCGTTATAATGTACGGTTAATCCCACT